CGCCTTCTCGGAAATGTAGGATCGCGTGGATCCTGAGTCTAGTAGTGCACCTACGCGTGTGTGTGCAATCTCTAAATCCGCGAGTAGTAGGTCACCCTTAGACTTTGCTTTCTTAGCCCACGAGCTTCGTAGTGCCAGCAACTCGTTACCAAGCTCTTCAAGAGAGTTGTCCAGAGAGACAGAACATAAGACAGTTTCAGGGTGTTCTGGACGATGGGCCGAAGAAGAACCATCCTCTACCGTGCGAGTCGAAGGGTTGGAAGGGTTAGTCGGCGCCTTACCTTCAATCTGGTCCAAACCCTTAGACTCAGTAGGAGCAGATGCTACTCCTACTGGCTGCTCCCTTTTAGGTTCTTATTTCGAATGATTGGGCACCACGCAATTACGTGCCCAGCAACGCCACACTTCAGACACTGCACATTGTTCATTCTTTCTTGTCGAGTGTCCTGTGTCATTCCCATTTTCTCCCAAGGCTTCCCTGCCGCAATGCCGGGATGCTCGGGAAAGGAGCGTGGTCTCTTCTTCTTTCCTGGTGGTCGTGGTCCTCCCTTGTTGACCATGGCAGCAACGACTTCCCCCTTCCCGGAATCACTGCTGTTTGCCACACCCTCGGCCTCCAATGACCACCTTTCCACAGTTTCATCGTCAAAGACGACAAGGGTGTGGTTCTGGGCGCTAAAGTACACGCTTTCCTGTTCCTGCACCACCACCACCATACTTGACAACAGATGCATAAGAGTCCTTGACATGAGATGTCATTTGCTCTCGTTGGAGAGCCAAATCCCGAAATTGCCTGTAATTATACTTACCTGATTTGGACTCCGCCACAAGCTGTCCACGAATAGGCTCGGGCAGAGCACGAGAGTAAATATACAAGACTTGGTTGTCTTGCAGGTTCAATCCTGGAACCTGCAGCAACCGGTCAACCTCCCTTGACAGAGACTCTACTGAGGTCCAGTGCTTTTGACCAATGGAGGTGAGCTGGTCAAAGGCCTTATCGGCGGTGGTCTTATCCAAGAAGCGTTACTTGATCTTTGCAAGGAACTGCTTCAAGGTCAAAGTACCAGCCCACTCACCAATGTCTTCAAACCCTGCGGCATTAGCCTCCGCCAGTACCCATTCTTTCGCTTCCCCTCCCGAGCAAGACGTTGAGAAAGCAACTTGAAATGGTTCCTCGACAGGGGCTGTTCCAACGTACGTTTGGATCTCAACTATCCACAAAAGCAAGTTTTCGTCCTTTTTATTGCAGAAAGTAAAAGGCAATTTCATTTTGATTTTCTCTCTTCTTTTCGATTTCTCAGGTTGTGAGGTGGGGTCCTTCTTTCCTTTGGGAGATTTTGGCGGTCCCGACCGTGGACTCGAAGGCGGACTTGAATGCGGACTCGAAGGTCCTCCTTTCTTTTCTTCGGGCTTCTGAGTCTCTCCCTCGAGTGCCTTGATAGCATCTCCCATTAACTTTACTGGTTTCTTTTCTTTCTCAGTTCCGTCTTCCTCGGTTACCTTGTGCTTCCCTTTGACCAGATTCGTGATTGCCTGTAAACCCACGGTCAGCTTGTCTATCCGAATGCCATAGTGGTCAATTTTCATTTCCAAGTGTGCGAGGTAAGTCACCAACTGAGAAATAGAGACAGACTGTTCCTCCCCTTCAGTGACAACAACATGCTGTCTGATTTCCTGCACTTTCCTTTCTTGCTGTGTGTTTCTTTCTCTTTCCTTTTTCATTTCTTCTTTCTTTCTTTTCTCCTTTTCGAGTGCCTCCTCAAGCTGTCTGATGTTTTCATCCACGACATTTTCAGAAACCGTTGTTTCCTGTTCTGTCTCCTTTCTGTTCTCAATTTCAGCAAATTGACCCACGACAAAATCATCAAGTGCCTTTCTGCACTTGATCAGTATGCCTTGGACACCCAGGACATCTGTCCCCGTTACCGCAGTTTCAATAGAAGTTTTCAATGCTTTTAGATCATACACTTTGCGGATTTTGGACTCAGCCTCTGGTCCGGTCTCACAGAGTTCAGTCTCAAATTGAGTCAACGGAGCAAGCAAGGTTTTCTTCCGTTCCTCAACTTGCTTCTTGGTCCGTGGATCACGTTGTTCCTCATCTACAACAAAATTTACTGAAATAGGATAGAAGAGGAGCGGGATGAAACGTGTGAGCAGCGAGAGTTTCAAACATTTCCAGAAATGATACATCCTGTTTTAGCGTTTGCCGCACAATAAATAGCTAATTAAACAATAATAAATTCCACGGCCGCTTCCTTTCACAACAAGAATTCCAATAACCAAAGAAAAAGAACAACTCAATCTACCTCTAATTCCTATGTCTAACTTGCTGTCCTATTGTTTATCTATGTGATGACGTCCTAAGTGTACAGGTACCACGTCAGGCCCGTGATCAGATACAACATAAGTGAGTATGCACAGCACAAGACAACAATCGACACAAGGTAAGTAAGCCAACATCAAACAAACAATATGTTAGCCCCCTTCTTTCCCTGCGTCAGTCCCGACCCATGTAATCAACACCCCATTCGACAGCTGGCACCACAGCTGTGCAATCAGCCATACCGCCGTCGTCGTCGGAATGTACTTCCTCACTTAGGCACACACGTGCCGGCCACGTGTCGCCCCTGCCACGTCAGTTACCAATCAACAGATGGGATGCCACGTCAGCAACTCTTATATGTCTTCTGTCACAGCCTTGGTTCGTCGAGCAGTCAAGCTCTCAATGCCACGTCAGCAGGAGGGCACTCATCGCAAACACGGCGGCCCTCTACTGCCACGTCAGCAGTCAATCGGTCCCTGCCTCGTAATGCAGCTCGTGATACCAATTTCCAGCCAGTTACGATGGTGCCACGTCAGCCTATCAGTAATGCTGCGTCAGCAAGGATCCCCTCTGCACCAAGTAAGTGCGTAATCCCCTTCTTGCCACGTCAGGATCGGGGTCATCAGGCCACGTCAGCACCTGAAGGGATCTGCTCGCTTCTCAGTATCGCAGCAGTATGCCACGTCAGCAGCAGATCCCTGGGACGTGACACATCATGTGCCACGTCAGCTGTGTCGTGAATCAACGTCGCGACCCTGGCTGTATTTCACGTGATCGGTATCCAGACTGCCTGTTCTCTGGTCCTGCCACCTCACACCTTCGTCTTCTTCTTCAGCACGCGCGTTTCTTCATCAGAGGATGCGCGGTCGGCTGTCTAGATCGCGTTGATAAACGCGTGCGACAACACGGTCACACCAAGCCACGTCACCCCCAACTTACCTGGTGCCAGCTGGCGCGCGTGCGTGTGATCTTCGTCATCAACTTCGTTATCTTCGTCGTCGTACTTCGATCAGGAGTACAGCTCCGATACAAAATTGTAATGAACCCAAATCGTGATGACACTGATTGATAATGTAAGTCTAATATCAATAGTGAAATCGTTACCAGATACGAAGAGGTGGATAATCATTCACAAATGAAATAGCAAGAGGTTGGGAAGAGAGACTTAGAGGGTGGAAAAGAATACTGTGCCCTCTTCTGCTTCGGGCTCTCTTCCCAATGTCGCCACCTCAG